GTTTATTTTTCTCAATTTTTGAAAATTTACAAACCAAACACACACAAACAAACACTCAGAGAGATTTAAAAAGAGAGAGAGAGAGAGAGAGAGAAAGAATCCATGTCATGCTTTTCCACAGCTTTCTTGAACTTCTGAAGGTACATTTTGTTCAAATATAAACTCACTGCAAAGAAGTTCAAGAAAGCTGTGGGAAGACATGGCAATTAAAGGATTTTATTACAAGTTTCTCATTTTCCATTTACTTTATTTGTTTATTATTTTCTTTATTTATTACTATTATTTTATTATTTTCAGGAAATATTGAGCACAATATTAAATATGGTGGCCTCATGAGATAACAACATCAACAACAACAACAACAGTGTCTATGATGATGCCCTACTTGACCAATCTGTACTCTCTTTCATGGTAATTTATTTTTTACCATTAATTAATTAAGTCTTTTTTTTTCAGCTTATTATTTTTGAATTATTTTTCACTCATATTTAAGAGAAAGTATTTGTAGAGATTGCATAAAAAATGGCTCTGTATATGTATCTTTAGTAGATCCCTCATTTGTCGAAACAACAATTTATTATTCATATTTTATTCGCTTCCGAATTTCTAATTATATATATATATATATATAATTATGTGTAGAGGTTGCATTAATTAATTCTTTTTTTTAGTCAAACCTATTTATATAATCCATTTTTTTATCTCATCTTCTTGATTGAATACCATTATTTTGTTTTTCTTCTTCGCACTTCTTTTAATTATAATGTAGAATTTGACTTCCATATTATATTATTGTAGAATTATATTTATTTATGAAGAGCTGATGCTATGATATACTAATTAAATTTGAAATGTGTCACGCTTGCTGCTTGTAATATACATGGTTTTTTTTTTTTTTTTTGATTGCATTTGATTATCTTGGCTGAAATTGTAAGGAATTTTACGCATAAAAACACAACATTTTTCATGCTCATTATAAGATTAAGTCGGGTAAATGTAAATGATCCTTATGTACTTGAACTTACTATAACATTTACCTTGCAGTGAAATCAGAATAAATGAAACATCTCAAAAGATTTTGCATGGTATATATGTAATTTGCTGAAAAATCTCAAAAAAAATCATAGTTTGGAGAATAATATATATTCGTTGGATGTATTTTTTTTTTACTGCGAGTTACTGCATGCAAGGTAATAAGATAACTTTACATTTGTACTGCTCCACAGTTTGAGTGTGGGGTGGTGAAGAATGTCACTTCAGGAGTTTTGGTTTGTTTCACAAAAATGGCTAACGTTGTTTGCTTTTTCACCATTTACACTATGGGAAAATAAGGGGCCTTTCGCTGCCGTTGATTCTCATTATTCATATCTCGTCATCTCCGTTTTCCACGGATCTCATTCACACACACACACACACATATATATATACACGTGTGTGTATATATCTATCAGAAATTCTTGTGTGATGCAGCAATATCATGATTATGCAGATCGACCTGTTATATTTATTTTCGATATATAGGAGTATTGTGAAATGTCATGTTTTAGTTGTTTTTAAAAGCGTTTCAAGAAGATTATTTGGGGATTCGTAGAATGTACAAACGAATGCAATAAATATGTATCCATATGATCAGTTGGTCTAGTGCTTTTGTGCTAATATTTACAAAATTGTATGAAGTAACCTAATAGTTAAACGAGTCGATATGTTCGTACTTTTGAACTTCTTAAATAAAAATGCATATTTATGGTAACACAAAACGAGCCTTACCAAGCAAAATTGGGGAGTTTTTGGGTTTATCTTTGTAGGATGTTGTTGTGGGGGGGTGGGGGGGGGTGGGGGG